TGTTTGACTGTCTGTCTGCCTGCCTGCCTGCCTGCCTGCCTGCCTGCCTGCCTGCTTGTCTGTCTGGCTGGCTGCTTGTCTCTGTCTGTCTGTCCTTGAAATGTTGGCACCCCATCCACCCACCCCCCACCCCACCCCACCCTCCCCACAGTGGGTGGGGTGCGTGGGCGTGAGTAGTCGGTGGGTAGGTGAGAGAGGCAGTCTCACCTTTTGTCTGCACACTGCATGGCAGGCAGTCATACAGTATAGCGTCTTCGTCTCTTACTCTCTCGCTGTAGCTGCCATTGTAGCGCTGTTCCTGCCGATTGATTTTGCCCCTGTATATCATAGAGATTTTTAATTGAATTCTTTACTTTCATCCAGCGAACCACTGAACTAATTAACTCTTTTTCCACATGGTTCTGAATGTGTGAATTGTGAATTGTGTCAATTGTATCACATTAATGTATAATTATCCAGGATTGGCCCAATTATCCAAGTCAGCATTCACACTGAATTTGAAATCTAATTCAAAATTCAGATCAAATTATTATACATTCATTTGGCTATGACACTAGTCTATTGTGGATTTATCTATAACCTAACCAATCACCTAACTGGGATCAATTATAATTAGGCCTATAGCATGTGATGTAGGCCTACCTCCATGTTTAGGGTGAACACTCTATTCCAGCGCTTGAGTCGGCACTCAAAATGGGTCGTGATCCAGTTGGAGGTGGGTCGCGGCCTGACAACACACAGAAAACTCTGAGCACACTATAATTGGTGATAATTGTGTGTGGTTGGGTCCTATGGACACACTGAAATTGTCTTTTGAGTCCCAAGATGAAAAAGTGTAGGAACCCCTGCTCTAGTCTAATAGATAGTATCTTCAGGCACACAGTCTCCTAGGCATGAATCACAATCAAAAACAATAATTATATTCTACAAAATAACCATGTTGAATGTTCGACTACTGAGTTCAATCAAAACACAATTAAAGAAAATTTTAAATCAAGGATTAGGTTAACTCTATAGGTCTATGGTTTGTGTGAGTTTTCTCTTCCTAAGTGAGTGTGGTATTCAGGTCACGTTATTGAGATTTCTGAGCTAAAGGGGCCAGGGGACAATTATACTTTTTTAATGTTTTTTAAGACAAGTCATTTTTGAATGTTTTCCCTTTTGAGTCAATTTGTGAAGCAAAACTTTTATTTTATCTGCTTTGGTGACCATGAGCCAATGATATTTAATTCAGTAATTATTATTCAGTGAGTGTTCCCTGATTGATTCACATTTTCATGGAACGTGTTCAGTGTGTTGCAAGCCTCAGCTGTGAACTTACAATCACAATCTAACACTGCCACCCCAAGGCGAACTGGTGCATTGTATGTGTTAGGATTTCAAAAGCATTATACAACTAAAATTCCCTCTTTAGTTATCGCCCCCCTAAATAGACAACATGTTTGTGAAATGTATTTATAGACTAATGGGTAAATACAAGGCTGATGAGAATGTTGTTTTTCCTTCCACCTGTATGTATCGCCATGTTATCAAAGCTCAAAACGACCTCAAAGCAATATTTCATTTTAACCCTTAGTGTGTACATGTTCCCTTAACCCTGTGATCAGTTAAAGAGATGCTCTGTTCTGGTAATAATTATATAAAATATTAATTTTCCATTAACTTAATTGATGGAAATATTCTCTATTACGACGAAAGGCTAGAAAAGTACACCATTGCATTTTGGATTAATTATCATTCCCATAAATATTTGAAATAATTTAATATGCTTTATTCTCATCACACTAAGAAGGCCATTAGGTGTCCTAGAGTTGACAAATTAAATTTAAAAAAAGAACCTTGCAATAAGATTGATCGTGATAATAAAAGATTGACTTTATGATCGACTGCACGATGCATGTCTCTCATTTTAACTAACCAAACAACAATTTTGAAAGTGCATACACCTACAATCTTGCAGTACTGTAATAGTGCTGGATGATCATGGTTTGCATGAAAATTATTATCCTCCTCTGTTTGTTTTCCTTGCTGTTTTTCAGGTCATTGCCTCCCAAAACAAAACACCCCTAAATGTTTCCATCCAGGTGTAAGGACTGCATGTTTTCTGTTCAGCAGAGTTGAGATGAAGGGCTGATGTGGGTAAATAGTAAGGGGCCTACACAGGGAGGGTGACTCCAGGACACCGCCCAGAGGTTGTTATCATGGGAAAAGAAGCCCCTGAACAGATGCTTGACCTGCTGCCGTTGCCTAATCCAAGAGTTCACTATATGGGTCACCCTGTGGTCAGCATGCTTTCTAGAAGACAAGGAAATCAATATTGATATTCGATGTAATATAGCAATTGACGAGAGCAGAAGCAATATCCCTCAATAACATTAAACAGACTGGGCAGTGCACCATCTTTCCAATTCCTCCATGTCCCCACAACTAAGATATGGGGCCCTAACTTTATAGTGCATGTCAGGGGCGCAGATGGGATTTTTGAACTGGGGGGGACCAAGCTGTCAGCAAATGATTTCAACTCAATAAGTTATTTTTGTGTAATTTGGGCTTTAACTAGCGCTCAAGTAGTTACTTTCATAATAGCCTATGGGCTATGGGGTTTGCACTAAAAAGCCATTGGAGAATTCTTATTTAAAATCATGGATAAACAACAATGAACATTGTTAAACAAAGGCCTACCTGATCAACACTAGCCATATATGATAAAACTGTTATTTGTCTGGAATGTCAATCACCCACCAAAATGTCATGCCTTATGCAAAATATGTTTTATTTAAACATTTGTGTATAAACTCAGAACCCTCATGCAGTCTTTTTCTACCTCGGCTGCCCCCTGGCAGATCCTCTCTTGACTGACTAGGGCCTGCCTCACTGTCATCAGAAATTGCCTGCAGGCCAGGAGGATAATGTTAACATTTTAAATCTTATAATTTCACTTAACAGTTGCTTATTAAAATAACATTAAACATACAAATTAAAAAACATTAAAACTATTCACCTATGGCCTAAAAATACTTTTATTTTACATTTAGCCTACTTCAGGTAAGAGCAAATGCCGTTTATTAATGTCAGACTAGCTACTCAACATTACAAAACGATGCCACATCTGGGAAAGTCAACAGGCAACAGGAGTAGGATAGCCCACTTACATTGTTTTTTGAAAAAACGCTCTGATTGTTTTTTGTTTCTTCATTATGTTTATTTATTTTGTTTCTTCATTTTGTTTTTTCGTTGAATTTAAATCACCCGCTCTGTCATAGTAGACAATGGTCTATCTGATAACCGCGACAGGCACAAGCGCAGCTACCAGTTCCTCTTTAGGACCCTGGGGAGCAGGACTGGACTGTGGGCATACCGGGCAATGCCCGGTGGGCCGATGCACATCTTTGGGCCGGCCCAGGACTGTCATAACATTTTTTTTTTAAATAAAATAAAAAAGTAATTTGTCCCAACCGTCGGTCGTCGGACCGGGGTGTGTTCCGATCGCGGCGCGCACCCCCCCCCCTCGGTCGGAGGTCCGGGGTGGGTTACGATCGCGCGCACCCCCACCTCCTCCGTTTTACCGGCAATGTTTGCCGCCTTATGTACGGACAGTGGGGGGACGGATCGGGGTCACTATGAATCTGAGGGGGTCATGTCCCCCCCGTCCCCAGTGCCATCTGCGCGCATGGTGCATGTTCAGAAAGTACCATGTGGCTTTCTGGGTAAGGGAGGAGGAGAGAGAGAGTGTGAGAAAGAGAGAGAGAGAGCAGGTGAAAGAGAGAGAAAGGAGGTGAAAGGGGAGGTGTGCCGTATATTAAAGACAGGGTTGTCTTTTCGGGCCAAACTGTGGACGGATCTAGACCAGGTAGGGGTGGAATCGGTCTCTCTCACACACACACACACACACACACACACACACACACACACACACACACACAGCCTTATATGGGGTTGAAACTCTGTACTTTAACTAATTTTGTTTTGAACATCAAATATCAAGTATTTTGAATTACATCATTTATTAACTTTAAATTCCATTTCATTGTATTTGATCAAATGAGTTTCCTTCTACTAATGTATAATATTATAGTTTTCTGTGCAACAGAAGGGGTATCTGTTGTTTTAGAGCAAGATGCAGACCTTAGTCAGCCTGGTGGCTCTTCTCTCCCTCCTCTCCTGGGCCACGGCTGACGTCGTGTCCCGCTTCGAGGTCAGTGCCTTCCTTTAGTCATGCTGTTTGCTTTAAGGACATTAAATATGTACATGCACATTGAAAGAGTGTAATTGTGTGTGTGTGTGTATTTGTGAGCTGTGGTTGTCTTAACTTATAAATGACCAGCCGTGTGAGCTTTTTAAAATGTAAATTAGGTCAATTACAATGCTTTGCTATAGAGCACATTTTTTCATCATATTTTTGGGGATGTTGTCCCCTCATACAACAGTCGTCATAACCTCCTTCCCGTTGTCCTGTTCACATCCCATAAGTATATCCTGTATATACCAGTAAATATACTTAAGTTAGCCACAAAAATGGGCTGCTAATTAATCTTACTGCACATTAATACCTTTACTCTTGTTTTGCTTTACTCTTGTTTTTTCCCTGTCAACCTGCTGGATGCTTTACCACCTGAATTTCCCTTCTGGCATTATTCATAAAGTCTTATCCTATCCTGTTCCAGGATGTGCCTCAATGCCTGGAATTTTTCCACCATGGCATGGTTCCTAAATGGGGGGCTACCGCCCCGGATGTGGTCAGCCTCTGCCAGAGGTTTAGAAACAGGTAATGTGTCTGTGATTCGGCCCATCATGTATTGTCCATCATATTCTCACCACATCAGACGTCTTCAGTTTGCCTCATCTTTTCTCTCTATGTCAACACCATGCGAGACAATTTACAGAAATTAAATGCATTTCTTAATACAGTGATGAGATCTACATTCCTTGTGGCTGTCCACCTGTACCTGGCTGCACATGGTTAGGTGGACGTAATAAGCACCTCATAGAGATTTTGGCAGTAGCTCAGTAGGTAGAGCGGGTCGTCCACTAACGATAGGGTCGGCGGTTCGATCCCCTTGATCCCCACTTCCAAACTGTCTGCATGTCAAAGTGTCCTTGAGCATGACACTGTACCCTGAACCCCAACTTGCTCCCCGGGCACTGATCATAGCAGCCCACTGCTCCTATGTACAGTAGGATGGGTCAAATGCAGAGAACAAATTTCGTTCCCAAACATGGGAATGACAAATAAAGACCGAAAGGTCCCATTAATTAATTAACCTGCCGATTGTGACGCTCCACTTACCTAACAAGCACGAAACCTTCTGGCTTCTTGTGTATACCCCCGCCTCTTCTCCTCTGCTCATACACTGCAGCAAATGTTTTTTCTATGTCATTATAATATGTCTGCAAACCTATGGCATTCCTCTGTCCTTAGGGGCTTCGTCCTTTCCCTAGAGAGTTTTATTTGCCTGTTTGAGGGCCCGGTTTAGGGCTTGCACACACACAGTCGCCCGTCAAGCCCTGTGAAACTTTAGTTGTGATAAAGGGTCCTAAAACAAGTATAACATCGTAGAGCAAGACCAGATTGAGATCCTCAACCTGTGCCAACAGGCATGCGCGCAGATGGCCCTGGGGAGGGGGGGGACATGACCCCCCCAAACAATCTTCTCCGACGGGGGGGTGGGGGGGGGGGGGCGATGATCGTAAAACACCGCCTCCGGTTGGGACAAATTACTTTTTAATTTAATTTAAAAAAAAAGATTATGACAGTCCTGGGCCGGTGTCGTGCCAAAAAGTGATTGTCTGCCAGAAATTGATTGAAGGCCAAATAGCCTACAGTTACAAGTTGATTTCTGCCTAAATATGACTTGATCTCATTCATAAGCTTCATAATTTCAACAATAGAGCTCACAGGACACCTTGGAATTATTTAAGGACCATTAACACAAAATAGGCATTTTCACCTGCCAAAAATTGATTGAAGAACAAACGTTAAACTTTCGAAGACACGTGCCTTTGCTATAATTACATTATAATACAGTTGTGTGTATCTGCATATTATGGCCGTTTAATCCAGAGAAACGCAGACGTTTTTGCGCTACCGCTCAACGGGCTGCTGTGCGCGCTCCCGCGGCCAGAAATCAGATTCTGGCAGACAATCACTTTTTGGCACGACATCGGCCCAAAGATGTGCATCGGCCCACCGGGCATTGCCCTGTATGCCCGATGGCCAGTCCGCGATGTTGTTTTTCCCACTATGGCCACGCCAAGCACCGCCCCACCCTGCTCCTGATTGGTTGAGCTGTGCTCTCGACTCTAACATTGTTTACTGCGCCTGCTAACCCTAACCCTAACCCTAACCATAACCCTAACCCTAACCATAACCCTAACCCTAACCCTAACCATAACCCTAACCCTAACCCTAACTATATCTTCAACACTTGTAAACTGAGCGGTCGTTGAGATTAAACAATCTTCTAGCTTGCTGGGCGCAGTAGAACCAATCAGGATAGAGTCGACAGCACAGCTCAACCAATCAGGAGCAGGGTGGGGCGGTGCTTGGCGTGGCCATAGTGGGATTCGTAATTTCACGGCCAGTCCAGCCCTGCTCCCCAGGGTCCTAAAGAGGAACTGGTAGCTGCGCTTGTGCCTGTCGCGGTTATCAGATAGACCATTGTCTACTATGACAGAGCGGGTGATTTAAATTCAACGAAAAAACAAAATGAAGAAACAAAATAAATAAACATAATGAAGAAACAAAAAACAATCAGAGCGTTTTTTCAAAAAACAATGTAAGTGGGCTATCCTACTCCTGTTGCCTGTTGACTTTCCCAGATGTGGCAGTTAATCGTTTTGTAATGTTGAGTAGCTAGTCTGACATTAATAAACGGCATTTGCTCTTACCTGAAGTAGGCTAAATGTAAAATAAAAGTATTTTTAGGCCGTAGGTGAATAGTTTTAATGTTTTTTAATTTGTATGTATAATGTTATTTTAATAAGCAACTGTTAAGTGAAATTATAAGATTTAAAATGTTAACATTATCCTCCTGGCCTGCAGGCAATTTCTGATGACAGTGAGGCAGGCCCTAGTCAGTCAAGAGAGGATCTGCCAGGGGGCAGCCGAGGTAGAAAAAGACTGCATGAGGGTTCTGAGTTTATACACAAATGTTTAAATAAAACATATTTTGCATAAGGCATGAAGTTTTGGTGGGTGATTGACATTCCAGACAAATAACAGTTTTATCATATATGGCTAGTGTTGATCAGGTAGGCCTTTGTTTAACAATGTTCATTGTTGTTTATCCATGATTTTAAATAAGAATTCTCCAATGGCTTTTTAGTGCAAACCCCATAGCCCATAGGCTATTATGAAAGTAACTACTTGAGCGCTAGTTAAAGCCCAAATTACACAAAAAATAACTTGAGTTGAAATCATTTGCTGACAGCTTGGTCCCCCCCAGTTCAAAAATCCCATCTGCGCCCCTGCCAACAGGTACCACTTTGCTACACTGTACGACACTCACCACCGTATCGCTGTCTACTCAGCCTACCAATTCCAGGAGAGTAACGGAGGAGGCAGGGAGAAAAGTTGGTTTGTTGAGCCTCAGGTAAGCACTGTGTGTTTGTTTTTCCTTTTGTCTACGTGTCTATCACATTCACAAACACATTACCCATTATAAGTATTATATTATAAGTAAGCATGTTGTCTTGTCCAAACGTACTAGTTTGTCGCTGTACCCTTATAATTATCTGTGTACAAGGACATAATTCAGTCCCTCTCCTCTAAGATAACTTTTTCATAGTGTGTGTGTGGTTTTGGAAACAAATGGGCGTAACTGTGGCAGGACCCTCCATGCGGCACGTTTTAGCCAACAGCTAACGCGGTCCAATCAAATGCACGTACACTGATGACACCTCCATCTCACACACACATACTCTCTGTGGAGTTAAGTGCTGAGCTGGATTTCACCCACCACCACCACCTGCTTTGGTTCTGCTCTGTATTGTATATAACCTACACAATGGGTTACGATATCTGATGTACCCCATGGGGAGGATTGTCTAGTGCTCCCTGTTGTCAAATGTTGTTATGCTGTATCTGACGTGTATGTCGTGATTTATATCCTGCAGCAGGGAGCCCCCCCCGAGTAGAGCCGTACCGCCACACTAAAGTGTATTACCATTTCAGACAAATAAATAAATGGTTAAATCTATGATATGAGTGATTTCTGATAGAACCTGTCTTCGTTTTTATGCTATCCAGCTGGTGAACCCATCCTGGCAAGCAGAGATGAAGGATGGTTACTGGCTGGGGAAGGACCACCCAGGGGTGTACCAGGGGGAGAGACAGGCCCTGAACGAGGACTACACCCACTCTGGCTTCGATCGTGGACACCTCAACCCTAACGGACACCATGCAGGTCTGCATAGAAAGCCTTTGTTCCCTCCATCATCATCTTCTCCTCTCCAGATAACCATTGATTTTGATGTGCCACTGGCCAATGCCTTTATGTAAACCCACTAAGCATGACCATGGTTTCTTTCCTACAGTCCCAAGCCGTAACGCCACCTTCACCCTGACCAATGTGGTCCCCCAGAACCGAAAGCTAAACCAGAATGCATGGAGGATCCACGAGACACAGCTGACCAGCCTGTTTCGGGCCAAGTGCTCCCGGGCCTATGTGCTGGTGGGCGCCATTCCCTCCGCCGACAAGTGGATCGTCAAGAACAACGTGAATCGGGTCAACATCCCTGACTACCTGTGGAACGCATACTGCTGTGTGGACAACAATGGCAAGGTCATTCAGAGTGGCGGCGCCTCAGCCAGGAATACAGAGAGCAACTGGGTTGAGCAGTACACTCTGGATGAGCTGGAGGAGTTCCTTCAGCAGTTCGCCAATCAGCCAGTAGGGGAGCTGTTTTACAACAACTGCAGATGAGTTCTCCTTTTTAGAAGTCAGTAAACTCAAAACACAGCGACCCAAACAAAAATGGTCGCATTTGCTGTTTCTAATTGGCTCAAATTGGTGAAATGTAATACTAATTGCCATAGTCAGTAATTACTTTGGACAGTATCTCAGGATGGATGGTTAGTTTGCCTTCTATTTACCCTAGTCTTTGCACTTTGCATATTTTGTTAATATCCCCTTTTGGAATGCAAATATTGAAATAAATTAAATGAGTTGTGCAAATTAATAATTGTCAATAGAAGAAAACTCGGATCAAAACATTTGTATTGTTTGCTGTTGAATGGATTCACTCAAATTGAATATTCATTTTTACACACACAATTGTGGGAATCAATGTTTTTGCCCTTCTTCATAGTGCTTTTTTTCTTAAAACGAAAATTCACAGCATGTGCCCTTAATTCATCACAAAGGTAAACAATTGATAAGATATTCTCACACAATGAATGTCATCTGTTCTGCAGTCATTTAAATAACTGAATGCTACGGTAGAATGCTACACTGCATACATTGAGCCATCCCTCTGCTCTCCACCACACAACACATTAAACTATACAGAACTTACTCTGTACCATCATGCTGTTTTATTACTAGACAGAATATCACAACATATATATTAAAAAACAAACAAATGAAGAACACACAGACAAGAAAACAAATCCTGAGCAGGTTATACTTATGATTAAGTACAAAAGAGTATTATTACTGTTATATGGATTACAATAGACCCATATCACAGGTGTGATCGTAGGACAAACACAGGTGTCGCTCATAACACTAACTATGGGTCTGCTACTAGGGCATGGGTAGTGTCCTACTTATCTCCACTATAAAATCATTATACCCTATATAGTGGACTCATCGTATCCCACAATGCATCGTGAACAGTAGCGTACAACCGATGGTCACTAACCAAGCACTACATACCATCATGCATTGTGCTGAAAGAAAAATGGCAGACGGACGAGAGAAGAGCACATCCATGGAGGAGAGAGAGAGCAGCACAACCTGTTGTATGAATGCAAACATAATATATTTTAATTATTTTATTCTAATATACATTATATTTTATTAATTTAGGAAAATATGCTCATTTATATGTATTTATCACAAAAG